TTTCCCGGCCACCATTTTTCTTCGTCTGTTTCGGGGCCGTCCGGCTGGCCAGGGCTGGCCGGGGCTGGCCGGCCCGACGCTGCAGTGACGTCCCGACTGGCGATGGCGGCGCCTTCTCACACACTGGGAAAAACGAATCCGAAATCGGTGCCGAAAAGTGGGTGGGCACTCCACCTCGTTGGCAGCGGGTGGATGGTGGATCAACGGACACCCACTTCTCGTGGGCGAAGACGACGCGGCGTCCCCTCGGACGTTACTTGCGCTTCATTTCTCCGATAGCGCCGTCTGTCTGTCTGTCTGTCTGTCTGTCTGTCTGTCTGTCTGTCTGTCTGTCTGTCTGTCTGTCTGTCTGTCTGTCTGTCCGATCTCCGCGCTTTGTGGCCGCGTGGCCGGCGAGGTGCCTCCAGCCCGTAATGGTAATGGTAATGCAGCGTGGGCAGTCCCGTTGCACGCGGCTGCCCGGCGGTACAGCCTATCCCGACTTCGCAGGCGCCGTCCGCCCGCGTGCCGTCGCACAGTCGGCAAGAAGACCGGCGGAGGCGGACGAAAATCTGAACGCGTTTTGAGCTCCAGAGTCGCTAAACAGGCATCGAACCGAACGTGTGACCCCACCAATAGAGTCCTCGTTCGGAGAGCAATCCATTGGTGGGGTCACACGTTCGGTTCGAGTCCCATTTGGCGACTCTGGAGGTCAAAGCGCGTTTAGAGTTTTGTCCACCTCCACTGGTCTTCTGGCCCACTGTGCGTCGGGGCTACAGTCGCTGCAGTCCCTACAGACGGCAGCGCGGCGATACCCCGCGCGCGTCTGGCTGCCGCCGGAGCCTCTCGCGCGGGGGGTAGCGACCCGGCCGTCCAACCCGTTTTGCGTCCCCACGACAGCGACAGGGACGGGGACAACGACTACGCCAGCGCGCGAAGACGCCCAGCAGTCTGGTACCGAGAGTCGTTTCCATCTCGCTGTCTCTCTCGCACTCGTGGGGCGTGCCGCGAGAGAGACAGACCGACGAAAGCGACTCTCGGACTCAGCCTGCTGGGCTTGCTGGCCTCCTCGCCCCTCGCCGACGGCGGTCCTCTCCGCCCTTCCCGAAGACACGCACGGCCACATGTTCGCCGTGAATTAAAGGCCATCTTCTTCTCGACCTGCGGAACGGAACGGATGGCTTCGGCGGGGCCTTGGGGCCTCGGGGTGCCTCGGGGCGCCTTGGGGCCTTGGGGGCTAAGCAGACCGCGCCGACTAGTTCGCGGCCGCGCCCCGCGTCCACCCTTTCCGAGTAACGTGGTGATTTACTGGCGCTGCAGTCGTGCAGCCAGTCGTGCAGCCAGGCGGGCAGGCAGGCAGCCCTTTGGCCACAAAGGCAAGAAGTCGAACCGCCTTTCAGCTAAATCAATCCGCCATTTTGGATGGCGTCGAGGCGGAGGCAGGCGGAGGCAGGCGGAGGCCCGCCGCCCACGCCCCGCCGACGGATTCGGCTGCTTGTGCTTTTAACGGGAATTGCTCCGAATTAATATGTATAAGGGGGAATACCAATAGCCGGCAAGCTCCCGATGGCAAACACGGCGCTGCACAGTGGGCCAGAAGACCGGCGGAGGCGGCCAAAACTCTAGACGCGTTTTGAGCTCCAGAGTCGCTAAATGGGACTCGAACCGAAGGTGTGACCCCACCAATGGATTGCTCTCCGTACGAGGAATCCATTGGGGGGTCACACGTTCGGTTCGAGTCCCATTTAGCGACTCTGGAGCTCAAAACGCGTCTGGAGTTTTGGCCGCCTCCACCGGCTTCTGGCCCACTGTGCGCTGGCGAGCACGGCGGTCGCTGGCGCTCCTGGCGGCGGGAAAGAGAACGGGACCGAGTCTAAAACGGCAAGTAGTCGGACAAGGAGGGAGCATTAAAGTAAATAAAAATAAAGTAGCGGCGAGGGAAGCAAACAAGTGCAGTGCCGCCCTCTTCAACGAGGAGTGGGGGCTGGCTGGGCTGATTTGAGGAAACTACAAAGAGAGGGAGGGAGGAGGGGGTTGAATTATGGGCTCGCCATGAAAGCGAGAGTCAATAAGGCCGGCGAGCGAAAAGTTTGTGGCCTTCCTCCCCCGCTCCCCGCCACGCCACCCCGCGCGCCATCAGTCAAAAAGCCCGCCAAAACACGCACAGCCAACACCGGAAGAAAAAACAGCGACTTAAAATGGCGTCAGCATCGTCTGCGGCAGACTGTACCCATGGGAGCGTCGCTCAGTGGGCCAGAAAAGCGGCGCCGCGCCGGCGGCCGAAACTCTAGACGCGTTTTGAGCTCCAGAGTCGCTAAGCAGGACTCGAACCAAGCGTGTGACCCCACCAATAGATTCCTCATTCGGAGAGCAATGCATTGGTGGGGTCACACGTTCGACTCGAGACCCATTCAGCGACTCTGCAGCTCAAAACGTGTCCGGGATTTCGACCGCCTCCACCGGCCTTCTGGCCCACTGTGCGGCGGTGGTCGTCTCGGTCGTCATTGACGCGCGGCGCGTCCAGTCCAGCCAGTCCAGCCTTGATCCTCGCCGTCCTCACGGTCCTCACCTCGCGGCTCGCCGTCCCCCGATCCACCGCGCCACGCGGCGCCACGTGACACGCCGCAGAAATATATATATCGGCAAAAAAAGAATCAGGAGAAAAAACGTGGCAAACGGAGGGACGGGGTGGGGGCGGGGTGGGGCGGTCGTCGCCAGATTGACTCATTTCCGTTTAAATTACGTCGCACTCCATCCCGCGGGATTCGCTACAGACGGACGTGCCCTGAGTGAGACTGGCGGGACTCCTTGAGGCTGACGCCGCGTCGGGCCCGGCCGGCCTTTGACTCCGGGGCGAGCGCTCGCCCCGCACGGCCTCGGCCTCGGCGCGTCAAAGCGGAGGAATCATCGCGAAGCCGGGCCCGCGAAAGAAACGCGAAAATGAGGATGAGGGGCTGCCACCACGCCATGCCGCCGTAGTCGGCGACGTCCTTCGGCCCGTGTCGCTGCCGGCGGGGCCAGGGCGGGGCCAGGGCGGCGCCGCGGACGCCGTCAACCCTTCGTCAGCCCCCCCCCCTCCCCCTGCCGTTGTTCGTACTGCTGCTTTTCCCTCACCGACCCGCCGAGCCACGGCCGAGCCACGTCGGAAAGAAATCCAATGAATGCAAATCCCGAAGACGGTCTGGGAAGTTAAGCTCCGCGTTAGGCCGCAGTCCGCGCAGTCCGCCTGCCCCTGGCCTGCCTGGCTTGCCATGGCTTGCCCGCCCCGTCCGGACCTTACAGTGCTCCTCCTCAGGGTCCAGGAGACGCTCCGGCTGCTGCTGCGGACCTGACGTGACGACTGGCGCGAATCCCTCAGCGGCACTGCCGAAATTCCCACACCGCGTGAGGCCGAATGGTGAACTGCGCCAAACCTTTGCACGGAGGGCCAGAAGACCACCGGCAGCGGCGGCCAAAACTCTCGACGCGTTTTGAAACCCTAAGTCGCTTAATGGGACTTGAATCGAACGTGTGACCCCACCAATGGATTGCTCGTTCGGAGAGCAATCCATTGGTGGGGTCACACGTTCGGTTCGAGTCCCATTTAAAACGCGGCTAGAGTTTCGTCCGCCGGCACCGGTCTTGGCAAATCCACTGTGCGTTGGAGACTGTGCTTCTGCCGGGCGTCGAACCCACGGCCTCGGGGCTGCAGGCCAGGCCAGGCAGGCCGATGACTCTCCTCTCCTCTCCCACACCCCCGATGAAAGAAAGCAGCGCTTTATTAAAAGAAGTGCTCCGGCAACGCCTCGAGAAGTTCCTCCTTGGTTCCTCCCGCTGGCCGTCCGTGCCGCCGCGCCCGATGGGCCGGGCTGGGCCAGGACGCCAGGACCAGGGGCGTGAGAAAGCTCTCTTTGCGCATTACTTTGGCGAAGAAAGTGATTCACGGACTTCTCGTATTTGCATTCCTCTCGCCGCCCTCTTCCTCTTCCTGCGGATCGGACTACTTAATGAGCGTATATCAGCTTAGAGCGGCAAGGCCGGGCAAGGCCCGCCCGGCGCCTCTTGTGAGGAAGAGACGAAAGCAAAGAAAGGTATGGAAATGCCGCGTCGCTTTTCTCTCTCCCCATCTTGGCGCACCACCGGACAGCTTGCTTGGCTTGCCTGCCTTGCGCGCTCGGACCCCCACAAGAGCTTTGCGAGCTGCGCTAGACTTTGCGTGCATGGGGCGTTAGGCGACTGCACTGCCTTGCACACGTGCCCCCGGTGGGACGAGGGGTTGATTTCTGGATTTCGCAACAACGGACAGTGCTGACGGCTGCCGGTTGACTCCCCACATCACTGTCGTCGCTCTGTCTCTCTCGCACTCATCACGACATGGGGAGTGCCGTGAAGGTGCGAGAGAGAAAGCGGTGTAGCGCTGTTGTGAATTCAGTCTGCCGCGCCGCCTCTTTTCTCTTTTGTTTACTTTGACCATCAGGTGAGGCTGATTTGCAAACAAAAACAACGAACAATGAACAACGCGCCCTCGACAAGAATGCGCTGATACAAGTTAAGCCGAGCGGACGAATCGGAGCCGCGTCCCGCCCCCCTTCCCACCCCACCGTGTTCTGGCGCCGTCAAAACACACCCGCCATCTGCTGTGGCTCACAGGCATTTTTCAGTTTTGGAATCGGGGCGCGATGCGCGTCACTTTTTTCTCGTGATCCACTGAAGTTGCATGAGGCTTCCCCAAGCAGGAGGAGGGGGCAAAAGTACCATCCCCCCCCTTTTCTGTCGACCTCCTGAAAAGTAGGCAAAGAGCAACGCTTAGCCCCTGTAGGCCCCTCCCAGGCACTGTAGGACTCTAGGCCGACCCAGGCCCGCTCTGGAAGCCCCACTGTTCACGGGGTGGTAGCACGGCCCGCCATTTCCAATTTTCTTGCAGGTGCCAGTGTGCCAGTACAGGGCGCCCCATGTGTGATGTGTGCGATAGAGAGGCGTCGATTGGATAGTTGGATAGTGTGCAAATGATTGGGAGGTGGGGCAAAGAAAAATGCAGCAGAAAAATTTCTGGCCCTTTATCGTTCTTTTACATACCGAGGTAAAATACGGCCGATACGGCAGTGATTTTAAAAATAATATTCACAGCACCAAATGTTTTAATCACTTTTCTCTTAATATCACTTTGATTGGCACTGAAAAGAGTACCCACTGCACACACAAAACATAACAATACCAGTTAGGCCTTTCAACTAAAAAATATGTACAGTTTTGTTCCATGTGCTGAAACACCCAGTGTATCAAGAGGGATCTCATTAAAATGATCACAGAAAGAGGACACACAGAACTCAATTGGAAGAGGAAAGAAAGCAGTCTTGAATCATCATCATTGATCACAGCTTGGGGACAGTCAAGAATCTCATATACGTTGAACATGGAGAGAAACTCCCATCAGTTCCCACATGATCAATTTTGAATGGGAATTCCTCTGAATGCCTATTTCATTAAATTTAGCCAGTTAATTATTACAGTAGTTAAAACAGATAGAAAATGGGGGTCCAGTGAGTCCTAAATAGAATAAAACAATAGATAAATGAAGGTTAAAGCTGATTGCAACATTATACACTAAGTATCCATGCATCATATGAAGGATTCCGTTTTAAAACTTCTTATAAAATCCACAATGTCCAATAGACTTTGCCCCGGCATACACACAAGGCACAGACAAAAGGGCCCTTTTCTTATGAAACAACAAGCACAAGGCGACAAGCAGTCATTCACAGGCATGCACTGTGTGTTTGTTAATAAACAAGAAAAATATGATGATTTCCCTGCGGTTTTAAAAGGTAAATACAGTGCTCTGATGTCACAAACTCTAGCCCTGGCTGGCATTGCATTATAAATAATAACAACAGCTGGCATGAAAGTTAAATATTATTATAGATATTGAAGTTAAATATATTACTATAAAATACGACCTACAAAACATACCAGTTACATAGAATACAATTAAATGTTGACACAGGCCAGGAATACGTGTTAAAAGACTCAATGATTACAGTTGTTAGTCATGACATAATAAGAGTCTTAAGGAATAAAACAAATTAGGCTTAGTTGATTCCAACCCTATGTCACAAAAATATATCCTGATAATCTAAGGCCAGTTTTCTATCACATTTACAAACAAAACAGATTATGTACAAATTGACATGGCACACTAGACTTGACACAAGAACATTTTTCTTAATTTAATTTTGAGCAAAGTTCAATCCAACAGGTATTGGTTGGATTAGTGGGGAATGTTACAAAAAGATTGTTGATTCTTGTATTGAGGACAGAAATCAGGAAGGACAATAATGTAAAACATTTTAAGAGATTTTTCAATAAGGCTTCCAAGAGAATCAGTTTTGCTTATCACCTAAACACCACTTAGTCCACCTCTCATACTGTTTTCACATGAATTATTAAGAGAGGGTTGCACAGAAGTGGAGAATCCTCTGGCCTGCTGGGCTACCTTCCTAGTGTAACCCCCTCGTCCTCCAGCTACGCCCCATTTTTTTTTACGCTCGTCACTTGAATCACCAGTGTCAAATCCAGAGTCATCCTGTTCATACTCTCTGATGGTGGGGTTTTCCATGTTCACTACAGTTGACAAAGTGCCTCGCTTAGGAAATAAGGGGGGTGCCTCAAGATGGTTTGTTTTGGGATGTCTTAGTTTCTCATATTTTCTTGCAGAGCAAGAATCTTCAGTCTCATCAGACATCCGTCTCGACTTTTTAAGACTTCCAAAGTTTTTTGTTGATGCTGTATCTAAAATGTTATCCATAAGTGTTTGAAAAAAGTTGGGAAATCCATCATAGCCTACAATGGAAAGACAAACATTAAGATTAGTAAATAATAAGATAAACTTGAATTTAAAGCAATTATAAACAGAAAGAGTCGTACCAGGAAATATGTTGATGTCAATTATTCCATATCGACCAGAGCCATGTTCAATCACTACATCGACTCCAAAGAGCATCATGCCCAACTCTTTCCTCAGAGAGCTGACAATGTGTTTCAAACGATCAGAATCAGGTTTACTTGAAGGAGCTGCAGCAAGATCTTCTGGGTCCAACACGGTCAAGCTTGAAGTAGAGTCCGCTTTAGAAACATCAGATGTAGAGAAAAAAATTGTTTCATTATCTGAAAACAATAAACCAATAATAAATCAGCACCCTTTCGCAATTCTCAAATTATATTAAATGTGAAAAGTGAGAAAAGATCATACCAGATGCTGAAAAGTTTTTTAGGGATGGTCTTTCAGACACACTAAAATTATGACCCACAGTAAAAATTTTATAGAGCACAGCATTGTGATTGATAAAGCTCTGAGCTACACAAGGTGGTTTACAATCTGCGACACCTTTTTCATTAAATACAACTGCCATTTGATGGGCATCTGATCCATGAGCAACTGATGGTTTGCACACTGCAAGTCAAAAAATGAGTTTAAGGCTGCTAGTTAACCCAGGGAAAATTCCGACTGAAAGCAAAATATTTACCAAATGGATATGTGATACCAGCATCTTTCAATCGCTTCAGATTTTCACTCAGGTCGGTGGATGTAAGGTCAACAAAAGTTGGCATGAAGACCTGATCTTGTGCCAGATCACTGTCTTGCACAATGCGATAGTACAGTGATCGGTCTACGAGAGACCGTACTCCAGCTAGTGGGTCCACTACAATCACCTCAGGATGCAATTTGATATAAGACTCCATATTGTTGAGAGCAGCGGTTGCTTCTGAATCCCCCATGGAGGACTTCACAATGACATCTGATATCTTGTGGATGATTGCAAAAAATGGACCTTGTGCCTCTAAACTTTCTTGAAGGTTTATCTGGGGAAAAAAATAAGAATTGCAGAGAATCATATCAGCATTACCAAAATAACAGTGAAGAGAGACGATGACAAGATGTGGCAGCTCACCTTGACTAAGGAAAATCCATGGTTTCTAAAAGTGAAATAAGAGACATTAATTAATTTGACACTAAACTCTACAGCAGAAATAAACATCAACGCTTAAGCCTAAGTCGGAAGGTGACTATCAGTCATACCATCAAAATTATCAAAGTTCAGTTTGCAACTTAAGTGCATAAAAATAAGTGTCTATACCACATGTAAACAACTAACCTGCATACGTTATTGAACTCGGACCAGTTCATTTTCGCATTCTTCTTTTCGGTCACATAGTAACCTATGACTCTACAGGGGGTCACTTCCATCTTTGAGATTGTATTGCACAAGAGTAGGAACAAACTATGCCATCACCTTTCGTCCAGTAGATCCACAAGGAACCTTCGAGCCCTTCGAGCCTCTTTAGCAGTAGGTCACTTCAACGGACGACACTAAAAATTGTTTCCAGTGTTGTCATTAAACGTAATTCGTAATCACCAGCCGCTCAGTTTTCCTAACGCCTCAAGACAACCTCTTGGAGTACTCATGTTCTTCACTACGTCCAAAACGACAGAAAGAAAAATTGTTATCCAAGGCATGAGTTCACACACCCCAACGCACACACCCACCCGCTAAAGACCACACACATACATACACACACAAACTCACACACACTAAAATGTGATTCATTCAACGAGGCGGACACTCTACACACACAAACACACCTACACCTACATCCCCCTCCCCACCCACCCCGGGTAAACAGACGCGATTTCCTGTATGACAAATTGTCCTCAACGTCTGAAACAACTAGCATTTTGTGAAGAATTTGTGCTTCTTGTACAACATTAAACTCTGTGTTTTCAAACAGCCTTGAGGCTAGCTCCAACAGTGGTGAAATTCGATGTGAAAATTACAAATTATGCGATAAGTGCAGAAGAAGCGATCATGATTTTATTTTTCATACTAAGATGCACAGCTAGTCTCACAGCATGGTCTTTAATGAGTTATGGCGCTAACTTTTAAAAGAAATTTGAGCAAAAGATAAGCGAAAAGAAATCCTGTACAACCCGCATTCCTAGCCCAGTGCTCGTCCTCTATTTCATCTCTTCCTGTCGCACATTTAATATTTCCTTTGAATTTTCTCTTGGAATAAGAAAGAAAAGTGTGCTTGTGATTACTTGTAGCGTGATCCCTCCATTTATCTTTTGCCATGCAATGGTTTTGGTGTGAATAATGAAACCTCTGAAGTTTTGCACTTTTTATTTGTTTTGTGAATTTCTTTCGATTTGTACACATATACATGAGAACATCTTGCTCAGAAGAGCTGTCTCTGGAATTGTCTTATAAACAAAAGGCTCTATGAGAGAGAAACCACTTGTGAGGTAAAGGGAGAGCTGGACTAGCTAGACTTCATTTTCATTCATTCGATTTGGGCTATATGTTGTGAGTTGATGCACAAAAACTTCATTTGGTTGGGAATTCCTACAATTCAGACTTTAAAATGTACAGAATGACATTGATGAAACATGTAATCCTGGTCAATATGTCGACATGTAGCACCCCCCCAGTATCAGAGACAGAAACAAAGTGGCTCTAGGTAAGATATGACAAACTAATTGACACAAGAAACAATGCCGCAGTGGCTCGAACCCATATAAGGAAGTGTGTAACAGATATAAGATAACGTCATACCAGAGAATGTTAGGAATTAATACAAACAAAATGAATTGCATTACATAGGTTTCTGTTTTTCGATTTTTTTTTATTTTTAAGCATTGTACACAACAGCCAAAACAAAATTAAAAATGAATGACTAGACAGAAAAAAAAATGAAACTACATACAATGGAAAAGAAAAAAATTCTGTTCAACCCACACCTTCTCATGAGTACTTTCTTCATTTGTCAAAATGCTAAGTACAAGTTACTTCTTGTCTCTTTTGCTGTAGATACAAAAAAAAACAAAAAAAAAAGAACAACTTCAATTCATGAAGTTAAAACTTGAGCTCAGTTAAAAATTTATGCGAGTCTATGGACAGGGTGTAACCTGATTAAGTTTAAAAGATGCTTGTCCTGCAAGCAGAGAAAGTTAACTCTTGTACTTCAAACTGTCATTTCTTATTTTCCAGCTGGCAAGATGAGCAATGTTCTATCAGCTGCAATGAACGAAAACAGTTCGATTAAATAGATTAAACCATACAGACTGAGCTGCCGTCATTTCCCCCCCAAAAAAATCACATTTGAAACTGACTGCAAATTCAAACGAAATTTTTGGATAGATCAATCTCTAACAAGAATACAATGTTCCAATTGAATTTTACAGGACATATGTTAGACATAAGTTCTGACATCTTTAAAATTTGACATTATTAAAATAACAATGCAGGCAAGGAATCGAAAGGAGATTATGATTAGCTGAGATTCAATGGTTAAGACTTCTTTTTCCTGAAAAAGCATAATAAAAGAAAGCCCTTAATCGATATGACATTCAGAATATTTAAATACTTGAATACAAGGAACTATACAAATATGGACACATTTCATTCTTCCCTGGAAGAAAATTATAACAAGATTGTGGTCAAATCACCTACTAAAGAGGCCTTGTCATTAAAATCACCCCCAAAAATATACAAATATAAAAATTTTATAAGAGCCGAATTTACACAGCAAAATCTTAACAGTGGTAACTGTTGAGTCTTTTGCATATTCATAGTTCATAGCCAAAAGCTACATGTTGTGTTCTACTTATGGGCAAGTAGTTGGTTATGCAAAAATGAGCACATATGCAGTTATCAGACTTAGCTGCACAATGTATTGCATAATGAGATTGTATATAAAATGCAAATGAATGCAGTCTGAGTTGAGTTACCTTCAAATAGGAAAGTACAAAGTAATAAGGACAAATTCTAGAATATTTTTCAAAACATTTTAAAATTTAGAGAAAGTAATTGTCCCTTGTAGTTCATTCATGTCAAGATTACCCAACCACTATAACCTTCCAAACCAACTACTTTTGACTGTATTATTTTCAATTAACATGATTTAGCAGGACAAAAACTGATATCAAAGGCATAGTTGGGTCATAGTATGGCACATAAGATGGCTGTTGCCAATACTGCTGAAAGGAGTTAGATACATCCAAAATATGGATGGAAATTTGTTTACAAATCTGACTCTCCATACAATGCAGTAGAGAATGACATGTAGTCCAAGGCACCGGGAACGGCATTGGGTCCCTTGAAGGGTGGCATACGCTGGATGCAGTATTCAGCCTGGTCTGGGGGAAGCTCACGGCGCAGTTCATCGGGAAGAATATAAGGCTAAAAAACAGAGACAAAAAAGTTTTAAACATTTAAAAAGAGCACAAAAAAAAACGTCTAGGCAGACCTAAGATTAAGATTATCATTGACAAATACCTTGTCTCCAGCAAGGATGCGGAAGGAGTCAATAACTTGTTCTGCTGTGTCAGTGTCGGTAGATTCACGGGTCATGAAGTCCAAGAAAGCGTCGAAGTGAGTGTAGCCAGTGTTATTGGGATCCACAATGGCGAGGATTCGCTGGAAATCAATCTCACCCTGTTCGAAAAAAACATTGAGAAAAACATATTAAATTGATGTTTAGTAAATCATCATTTCTAACGTGAACAGAAAGCATACCTGTCTGTCTTTGCCAATACTGTAACCAAGGCTAACTAGGCAGGACTTGAATTCATCAGGAGCCAGACGTCCAGTGCGATTCTTGTCAAAGTGGTTAAAGCTTGACCGGAATTCAGTGAGCTGTTCCTGAGTAATGCCCTTAGAATCCCGAGTCAAAATCTGGTTTTCAACTTCATTGATGTTGCGGTTGATGGAAGTCAGAAGCTGCTCCCAACCAACACGAAGTGTTTCCATTGTGTAAGCAGTGTACCTACGCAATAAAATTTCAAAGAGCCATTTAGTATTGCAATGAAAATTTAAAGGAGTCATACACACTGGAAATATATTTACCGGTTTTCAAAGATCATGCCCTCTTGCACAGCCTGGTGAATCTTCTCAAGCTCCTCAATGTGGGGCTTGTAGGCATAAACTCCCTGCTCATACTCCTTAAGTCGGTGCAGTTGGTCCTCCAAAGATCCTTGCATGCCCATACCGATGGCTGTGACCGCATCCATCTGCCTCTCAATCCAGGGACCAACCTGGTTGGCCTTCTCAGCAAACTGGCGACGCAGCATTTCGTTGTTCTGCTGTTTACGGAGCTCAGCCTGCAGAGTGGCATCACGCTGGGGCACAAGTTGCCGCACCTCAGACCACTTCTTTGTCAAGTCCTGTAAAAAAGGGGCACACAAGTTAATTAAGTCAAGTCAAGCCGAATGATTCCTCGCTTGTGTGTTCATTATAATTATTGCCTACATTAAACTACACTACACAAAGCTTTGCATAAAACAAAAGTTAAAGTAAGAAATTTAATTTAAAAGAAATAGAAAGGTGAATATTACTAGCAAAAAAAGTGCTTTTTGCTAAGTGACACTAAGTGATATTATTTTCCATCACAACAAATACAATTAATATAGACTGCATACCTCCAGAGTTCTACCCATCTTCCTTGCAAGCATGAAAGATTTAGAAGATCAAGGCAATTTACATCACAAGAAATTAAAAAGCACAGCATTCACAATTTGAAGACTTGGTAAATTTATGTTCTACAGGCACTCAAAAGAAACAATTTAAAATCACAAACAAACACACACACGCACCAAATTACCACACAACCTATTAAAACAAACCCCCTTGAAAACTGACTTACATGAGCAGTGAGGGTGGTGTAGGGGTTCTCAAGACCGCCGGGCACCTGGTATTTCTGGACAGTCTGCTCCACTTCACGCACCAAATTGACAATCGAATTGTACTCCTTGTCGGCTTCTCCAAGAGTAGCCTTGAACTGACTGTGAGCATCCAGCAGGCCTTGAATCTCTTCCATGGTGTGGACAATGAACATGTCCACAAGGTCCTCCCGGGTACCATCGAGCCAGTTGTTGAAAGGCTGCAATTATTAAAAATATTCAAGGTGAATGTAATGTGCCAAGTCACAATGCACCACATAAATGGAGGAGAAAATCAAGAATGAATGGAGCTTACAGCAGCCCTCTTGGCAAACTCCAGGTGAAGGATGTCGATCTTCTCCAGGATGCGCTCAGCCTCATCCAGAGCCTGGCGGCGGCGTTGGGTAAGACCACCAAGGCGGTCCCACTGGTCACAAATCCTCTGGCAGCGAGTGTTCACAGACACAGAGTCATGGTATTCAAGGGTGCTACAAAAAATAACACAAATATTTACACTTAAGGCCCTTAAGACAAAAACAAAAAAGGTTGGAACTAAAATGATCTGCACTTACTTCAGCTCTTGGGCAATAGCCGCAATCTGTTCAACACGATCTTGGTGAGCGGCAAGATCACTTTCGAAGGCCTCGTGCTTCTTCTTCAGGGCCTTGAGTTCATTGAGTTTGCATTGGCGGAAGTCCTGGCTTTGAAGCATCTCCTCTTTACCACGAGTCCATTCTTCATGAATGTCAGCCTTGTGTTTGAACTTCTGAGCCAAGTGCTCCAAACGCTCTAACCTGAGGAAGAGAAATAAAATCATAAAAAAATTATTTCTTAATAATACTTTGTAAAATCATTAGTTTAGGTTGCAAGACAAAATACCTCATCATTTCAGAGAGAAGCCACTCTTCAAACGCCTTCTCAGATGTTTCCAGGCCCTTCCATGCATTGGCAATGTCCTAAAATGAAAACAGATCTAGTATTATAGAAGAAAGAAGATATTAAGATAAAATTATTTTACTAAGAAACAATATAAGACACTTACTGAAACCATCTTTCCTTCCGTAGGCATATAGGCGGGACGGTTGGACAGACGTAGCTTGGTCTGCAGGGTATTGAAGTTGGTTTCAAGTTTGGCCTTCTGTTCCACACGTGGGGGCTTGTGCTTGCGGCGGTAGGTGCGGTACTCCTCCAATTTACGCTGAACTCCAGCCAAAGAATTGTCGGACTGACGGCTCTGAAGCCAGGGCATTGTTCGTCGGATCCACTCCAACAACTGTCAATGCAACACATGTTTAAATTATTACAATACTTGGGCCAGATGAAACAAGATAAGGCAAATATAGAAGGTAGGGTACGTACATCACTAGCCAAGCGCTCGTATTCTTCCATGAGACGTTCGTTTTCTTGATTCACCTTGAGTACCTTGCAAATCCTGTTGGCAGCAGTCTCCGCCTAGAAAGGAAATTGAAATGTATTAATTCTCATCACAGAACAGGTTTAAAAGGAAGGAAAACAGTTACTGAGTATTGAAAATAAAAAACATGCAATGAGCCACACAAACATTAGATGGTACAGCACTTGCAACACTGTCAAAATTTGATTTTGCCTTCACTTTATTGTAACAATTTTCTCACCTTCTGCGCACCGGAGAAGCAATGGTAATATGAAGACACATAAGTCATAATGGCACGCTCGTCAGGCATCGCAGTGTGGGTCATATCTGCAGGCAGTGGTCAGGGTATTGGACCATTAGCATATTAAACACACCACAAACACAAACAAACGCAGGGGTTACAGCAGTGCTGGCAGCAATACACTGAGGACTAAGGAAATTAATGTTTATGGATTTTTTAGTTAGAAAACACACAGCACAGCATCATGTACAAAGGATTAAACACAGGTTAAACAGAGTTACTAAAAAAAGGAAAGGGGTAAATGGAGTAAATCATCTTTTCTTTTCTTTCTTACAAGACTGAGAACTTTTCATGTATTTGGTTAGTAGATTGCAATTCATGCACATTTAATCAATTATGACTGAGCTTCGATGGTAGGATGAGTTAACATAGCTAAAGAAAAAGGGATGAGATTCATTCAGACTCATAGTTATTGAAATGTTAAAATTACTCTCAAAAAACAACACCAGTTCCTTCACAGGCACCAACTCTCATCCTTGTACCTGTTGAGCGCCCTGGAAGGCGTGGTAGTAGCATGACACATAGGTCATGATAGCACGCTCATCTGGCTTAGGAGTGTTGATAAGGTCTGAAACCACCACCAACGCATATTAAGACCCTTCACCATCCAATGAATGAAAGCTGTGCTGAATCCTATCTAAATGACATAGGCCCTTATCATTTACGAGAAGAAATTATTCCATTCAAAAGAGGAAAAACTATAAAATAAAAACTAAAAACAACTCTGAAGAGTTGAGTTTAATAAAAACAAAACCATAGTCGACACACAACTCACCCTCAGGATCCAACATGCGTGGGATGTCAAGGTACTTCTCAGCAACATCAAAGGCAGTGTTGAGATTCTCCAGCGGGTTGTCCTTGGACAACTTGCTGTAGTCGATGAGGTCTGGTCGGTGGCGATGAATGAGGGCGCAGAAGGCCAGACCATCCTTGAAGCTGCACAAAAATTTATTCCGCAATACTTAAGTTTCTATGCTCTGCTTCATAAAAACACGTCATTTAAATCACAATTTACCTGAGATGGAAGTTTTGCACATTGACATTTCGGTAGGGGGCGGTCTTCCGCTGGCACCACAGAAGCAGACCCTCCTTGGCGGTCATTTCTTCAACGGAAATGTCCTGGATGGCGAATCGCAGAATGATGGTCCAGATCATACCCAGGGTCATCTTCAGGTTGCCATCCACAATTTCTGAGGAAATGCAAACGACAGCGTGTTAGAATCAGACCAAAGTGCGAGAGCAACAAAATAGCAAGTGCGAGAGCAAATGTGGAGGGAAGAGGAGAGACCAACCTTCGGCACCAATGGAAACGAGCTTGACGCCCTTGCTGGCGATGAAGTCCAGGGCCTTGTTGACGTTGGCGATCTTGTGGAACCTCATCTTGCCCCGGTCGGGCTTGGGGAGGGTCTCGCCGGAGATGACTTCCAGCAGCAGCATCAGCTTGAGGCCGTTGCGGAAGTCCTCCTCGATGTTTTCGATGGCGGTGCCCGCCTTGCGCAGATGTGAGTTGCACCATGCCGTGAAAGTCTGAAAGGGAAAGAAGAAAAGCCGAATTGAAACACACGAATGAAGAGAGACGACCCAACAAAAACCCACAACTAAACGCCCTCCGATTACGTTTCCCTTCCCCAGTTTGAAGTGCCATATCTTGCGAACGATGCGAGACACATCACGCACAGCCTCCCACATTCATTGCACAAAATTTCATCACATTCCACATTGAGGTGGCAAAACGCCTGTAAGTAGGCAACACGTGTGGCAAAATCCGCCAGAAATGTTGCAAATTCGCACAATCATTGTACACGAATTTTACAGTGGGTCACCCCTCGGTGCGGGGCGGTGCGGGGCGGTGCGGGGGCGAAGCGGCCTCGCCGGCCAGGGCCAGCACCACCAGAGTGGCGCCGCCCCGCGCCGCGCCTTGCGACTCGCGACTGTCAAGTCAAGGCTCTGACCCCACGTCAGCACGCACCGCCACGACGCCCAAGGCGACGCCCCGGCCGAAGGGCTGGCAATGGTCCTGGCCGTCCTGGCGTCCTGGCCGGGACAGCCCTGTTGCACACCCTGCGATGCGGCATGTGCCTACACTGCCAAAGCGAATCGGCTCAGCGAATCGAGGCGCAGTCAATATCGCTATCCCCGGAAAGGGGGATGCTTGGGGGGCACGGCCTGCGGCGAGCACTCCGGGAGGCCTGTCCTCCACCGCCGCGGAGAGACAAAGACAGAGAGTGGGGCCGAGAGGCACCAGGCCCGCCACTGTCACGGTCGTGCCACACTGCACAGCACTGCACTGCACCTTGGCGGGCCGCTGGTCGTCCAGCGTTATCTCCAGCAGGCACTTGAAGCCGGCGAAAGGCAGGTCGGCGCGCTCGATCATCAGCTCGTCCAGCTCCTCCTGCGTCGGCATCCTCGGCTCGGGCGCCGGTTCGGGCTCGGGTTCCGGCTCCGGTTCCGGCTCGGGTTCGGGTTCCGGCTCGGGCTCCGGTTCCGGCTCGGGCAGCACGAGGGGGCTGTCGTCGAGCTCGATGGTGAGCAGGCTGAGCAGGTCGTGCGGGTGCAGCGCGGGCAGCGGCGGCGACACGGAGCGCCCCTCGAAGCCCTTGCCGTACACGGGCATGCCGACGGACTCCAGGAACAGCGTGTGCGTGTCCTTGTCCGCGCCCAGGCCCTTGACGTGCACGTCCTCGTGCGGCGGCTCCACGTGGTGCGCGGGCGGCGGCAGCGGCGGCAGCGGGTTGTGCGGCAGCAGCAGCGGCTGCGGCTCCACACTGGTGGGCAGCGGGGCGGCCAGGTTGCCGACGGCCGACTCCAGCTCGCGCGTCGGCGTCGCCACGAAGGGCCTCGTCTCCCACACCAGCGGCTCCACGGCCTGCAGCGCCTCCAGCGCCGCGCTCGCGTTCGCGTCCATGTTCGCCGTGGTGCTGCCCCGCGAGCCAAGCCAAGAGCCAAGCCCTGCAAGCCCAGCGAGCACTCGGCGGCCGCGCTAAGTGCACTAAGGGTCAGCCCTGGGCGCGCGTTCAGCCCGCTCGGCCCGCCCGGCCCGGCCCCCTCGATCCGCAACGCGACGCAACGCGACGCAACGCGACGAGGAGTCGATTCGCCCGATTCGATCCGACGACCCAATTGCAAAAAGAAATCATCATCTCGATTCGATTCTAGGGGCTGGCGGGGCCAAGGCCCGTGGGACGGCCCGCGACGACGGCCTGCCAGCATGCTGCCAGCAACCCCCTCCCCTCACCGCGCACCGCCCCGCGCACCGCCCCGCGCACCGCCCCGCGCACCGCCCCGCGCACCGCGCATTCCGGGGGATGCAGCGCGGCCGGCCGGCCGCCACGCGTAACCGCGCCCCGTTCGCAGTGCAGCGCGGTGCAAGGCAGTGCGGCGCAGTGCGTGCCGGTGGCGTCGACGAGGGAGAAGGCAGCTCGGCTCCCCGCCGTCGTCCTGAGGGCCTCGCTGCGCCGCAACGCGCCGCGCCCCCAGGACGCCGTCAAGCCAGAGTGAGTAGGGCCGCCGACCTGCCTGGCTGGAGCGCACCGGGAGTGTCACGTGCCGACCGACGACAGCCATAGCGCTGCAGATTGGCTGTGGATCCGTGCCGACCCACGGATCCAGACGCCGAATGCGTCCCTCTCGAGTCCTAGCGCCTGTGAGGTAGGCCACCGATCCGGCCCGCAGCACACGGCTGTGGAGACGGTGGCCTACCTTGCCCCTGTCGCCTTCAGGACCTTCAGGGGGCTAGGTAGGCCAGCGTCTGCACGCCGGAGTGTCGCGGGGCGGGGCGGTGGCCTACCTCACAGGCGCTGGAGGCTCGAAAAAACGATCCACACGGAGTCGTCGCCTGACAGCGGCGTTCTTGAGTGGCCGCAATTTTGTGGCCAACATCAAACACCGCGGGTCGCCGGGCCGCCCACAAGTTTCATTCATGCAGGATTGCAGAATGCAGGACGGCGTCGTAGAGACTCCGCGTTTCGGTGGCTGCGGTGGCAATGGACCCGCGGGGCCGCGAGCCGTGGCCGCGATACCCCGCGCTGCTAGAGACCCGCTCGGAGTATACGCGCGATACCCACCGCCACGGGGAGGGGGAGGGGCAGCCGACGACTCCAAGAAGCGCCGTTTACACGCAGGATTCGGTATTCAGGACGTAGAGGACCAGCCAGCCCCGACGGAAGGATCGTCACGAAGGAAGGGCCGTCACGAAGGAAGGGCCGTCACGAAGAAAGGGTCGTCACGAAGAAAGGGTCGTCACCAAGGAAGGGTCGTCGCGAAGGAAGGGTCGTCACGAAGGAAGGGTCGTCACGAAGGAAGGGTCGTCACGAAGGAAAGGTCGTCACGAAGGAAGGGTCGTCACGAAGGAAGGGTCGTCACGAAGGAAGGGTCGTCACGAAGGAAGGGTCGTCACGAAGGAAGGGTCGTCACTCCTAACTTTTGTGACAGCGGCCGCACCGATCAAGCCGTTTGAAGTGGAGGCCTGGCTCAGGTGCGGTGCACTGGTCCACCCGGTAAGTCGAGCAGCAGGCCAGCGGGGCAATGTCGAGCGACAAGTTGGAAGTGGTGCACTCTCGTGCCGTGCCGTGCTGCAACCACCCGGCCGCGCACGCCGCACGCCGCGCCACGCCCCCGCGATGTATTCTGGTATTCTCGAACGCGACGGAAATAGCGTAGGGCGTAAGGCCTGTTGCCTGCTGGCTCTTTTCTGTAAACTGGACCGCGATGAGGGCTCGGCAAAGGCTTGCACGCGAGGGGCTCTGTCTCTCGCACTCATGGGGTGACCCGCAGGGGAGCGAGAGAGACAGCGGCCCTTCGGAGTCAGGCGGGGGGCAAGTGGTGCAGGCAGACAGCCCTGCCAGCAAGCTAGGAAGCCAGGCTGCCGCGCGTCAAATCCAAGCACCGGCGGAAGGTAAGCAACAAAGAGTGATTCAGCTCCCCCGGGCAGCGCGGCCAGCGCCCTAGTGGGGCGGGGGTGGCCCCTGGCCTCCTGGCTCGCACGTCAGCCCGGTGTGGTCCTTTACCTGACACCGGCCGACCTGGCGGTCCTGGCCGTCCCTGCGTGTCACACGTAACACCCCGGCCGCCTCCCCCGCCCAGCATCAAGGTCGCCTAGAATAGCACGCGGCCGGCCGGGATCCCCGTCAGTCGCCGGCGTTCTGGCGGCGTTCTGGCGGCGTCCTGGCGGCGTCCTGGCGGCGTCCTGGCGGCGTCCTGGCGGTCCTGAGCCGGGCCCAGCAGAGCGGCAGGCAGGCCGAACAGCGGCCGCGCCGAGGACCGCGGCGTCCACCAAGCCAGGCCTGCCCGAGCCCGCGGGCCGGCCGCCGAGAAGGAAACCTCACCAGTCTGTCTCCCTCGCACCCGTCGGGGACGCCCCATGCGTGCGAGAGAGGAGAGAGACCCCACTCGGAAGCAGTCTGGCCGCTCGAAATAGCGCGCCCGCCCGCCGTCCGAGCAGCGCCCCGCCGCCCCGCCCCGTCACGACCACCGGCTGTACCCCTGTCGGCTGCTTCCGAAAGGGAGGCCCCGTCGCTCTGTGCCTCTCACACTCGCCATGGGTGGCAGAGAGAGAGAGACCTCCCACTCGGAAGCAGCCTGCCGGGCCCTTGGGGGGCAGCGGGCAGCGCGCGCCAATACATCAATGAAGTAATCTCCGCGGCGGGCTTAGTCATCGCAGGACAACGGCCCACAACTCCCCCTCCGCGACAAGGACTACGTCACGTCGCACACCTCCCCGTCGTCGCCGAGACACCACTGGGCCCGCCAACAGGATCGCCCTGACCCTGACTCCTCCAGGAGCCGCGTGTGGCTGGTGCCTTTCAATTCGGGAAGGAGGGGAGCCACCGCCTCCTTCCATAGCATGTCCCTTTCGACAGGAACACTTTCTCCCGGTAAGGCACACGGCCCAGCACGCCCAGCATTGGACCGGCGGAGAGCGCGGACCAGATACGCGGGGCGTAACAGAACCCGCGCAGCCGCAGCCCCCGGACCGATTCAGCGCTGTCTCTCTCGCACTCATGGAGCATCCCGAGAGAGACACTCGAGACGCGACGCTGACCCGATGCAGTGCGCCAGCCAGTGCGCCACGGGAGGTTCGAGTGCTCATTCCAGCCGTGCTCCACATCGGCCGCCTCGCCGCGCCTCGCCGCCTACCGGGCTAGCTCGGGACAAAAGCGAGGCCGGCCAAACCCTCGCGACCCGACGCCGAGCGCCGCGCCGCGCCGCGCCCCGCCCCGCCCAGCCCGCGCTGCGGTTAATGTCGATACAATCGCTTTTATTGCAGCAATCAGACTTTAACGGCGCGCTGGGCCTGGCTGGGCCTGGCTGGGCGCTGGGCTCGCATTGGACGGACAGTATAATATCGCGGGCTGCTTGTCGAGCCTGGGCCCCGTGGCCCCCTTGGGCCCTTGCAACAGCCCAACAGCCGCGGCTTGCAAAACAACATTCCGCGACGTTTTGCCGGCCTGTCTGAACCTCGTCACGACGGCGACCTCTTCCGAGAGCCAATTTTCGTAGCTCTGTCTCTCTCCGCACCTCGCTGTGCG